AAAATGTGGCTCTCGCCTTAACGCCGCGCACATTCGGTTCAAACATTCGGGTTTCACGGGTTGAGGGCGGGTCATTTTCACAATGTGGTTCGCGGCTTAGCGTCGACCACATTCGTGTTGACAATGTGCAAGTGCGCCACGGATTCCCATGATCACCGTACCAAAAATGTGCTGCACATATTCAGGACTACGCGGGTGCAACAATTATGTTCACTCGCGTTGTTGAAAAGATGGCACGATTCCGGATCGTCAGAACGCAGCAGCCAGGTTGATCCGTGGCGTCGAAATCCCGAGAACAAATTCTGGCATGCTTCGGGATGTTCAGACGATTCTCTTCCAACGACGCATTTCCCTCAATGGAACTGATATGTTGTACGGGCCGATGGAGAATGAGCTTGGAGGGAGCATTAATTCCAACATCGTTGATGACTCTTGGGTTCACACTGGTCCTCCTCCTCCTCTTCCTCCTCTTCCTCCGCCTCGTCCTCCCCCTCGCGCAGGGGCCAACAAAAACAACCAGAGTTTGGGCGGGAAAACGCCCAAACGCCCGATCCCGATCTGATGACGCGCCCCTCCGTCCCGTTGCCCGCCCGCTTCGTCCCACCAGCCTCGGCACCCCCGCCACCACGACGACGACAACGACGACGATGACGACGACGACGGCGCCGCCGACGACGACGACGACAACGACCGAAAACGACCGCTTCTTTCTGCCCGCGGAGCGCGCCTCTTCGTGCGCGGGGGGGGGGGCCGCGAGCGCCCGAGCCAGCGGGGTGTTGGGGCAGGGCAGGGCGGCGGCTGGAGGGAAGGGCTAGGAGGAAAAGCACTGGCGGGAGGGTCCAGGAGGAAGAGGAAGAGGGAAAGGAGTCATGTTGCTCCCATCGGGCTTAATGACCATATCCCAAACATAATTTCGAACACCCTGGCAACTATCGAAAGAGCGTCGAACGAGTATCGCCTCCAAGGGCCCGACACGACAAAACCTTCTGGTTTCGGAACTGTTGTGGTGCTCGAAATTCGTTCTAGTGGTCAAGGCGAAAGCAAGTTGGAACATTATAAGGAGGGGGGACCTCGCCCTCCCACACCCCTGGCTGCGCCATCAATCCAGCATTTCGGACCTCTCCCCTGCAGAGGGACCCAAAACAAATATGCGCCCAAACTCTCGGAGGACCGCGCGGAT